AGCTGTGCTACTGACTGAAGTGTCTTTAGGGCATTCCCAAAGCGGGGACATTAACATGTTCTTATGCACAGTAGAATTGTAATTGTAAATGGGCTGATTCATCAATGTCATGCTCATAACTGTGCCTGATCTACAACAGGGAACTGCTGCTTTTTCTTTCCTTATCCTTACTGTTGTTCTTTTCCCCTCTATTTCTTTTGTATGTTTATAATACTCTTGTGACCCGCTATTTCTGGGGTGCCTTGATAATGATAGTTGAAACAGACTTTGTGCTGTTAAAGCTAGAGAGGTGAGCAGAGTAAGCCCGATTCCCTGTAAGGACTTCTCTATTGACATCCACCCCTTAGCGCTCATATGACCTTATACAGTTGCGAGCGCCGTAAAACCTTACTACATGTATAACTAAACTAATAATTCAGTCCTATGATCCTTCGTGTCACAAGTCACTGCAGTTCACAGAGTTCAGTTAAACTTGTCAACGGCAATGAGCAAGGAGAATAACCCATCTAGTACAGCCTTCAACTCTTTCAGTATTGGTTGCTTCTCTTTCGACATTCCTGTTTCATGAATCCGTAACTTTAGGGTGTGGTTCGCACAATTCTTTTGTCAACGACAATGAGCAAGGAAAGTAACCCATGTATTATGATATAGTGCAACCGTCAACTTTGTCAGTATTGGTTGCTTTTCTGTTCGACATAACTTTGTCGTGAATCCGAAGGACAAGGGTGTCATGGTTTGCACAATTCTTTTGTCAACGGCAATGAGCAAGGAAAATAACCCATAGGCCTATCATTTTAGCACAACTATCAACTTTGTCAGTATTGGTTGCTTCTCGTTAGACATAACTGTTTCATGAATCCCAAGCATAAAGGAGTAATGAACCATTATAATTAATCTACTTTTAAGCTCAAGGGGGCTATCCCGAAAAATGCTGTTATGCAAAAATCGAAAAAGAAGTTTTTGTCTCTTGTTCAGTTTCTCTAACAGACAAGGAGAGTTTTCTCTATAACCAAACAAATAGTCAAATGCACACACTAATTAAACAAAACTTCTCCTATAGGTAGGGCGATGCCCATTTTTGGTGTAGGTCAAGATTTCTGGAAATCCCCGAAATCTGTCTTAGCCCGCTTGTCATTAAAAGCGACCAATTTTACTTTTAATTAGTTGATCACTGAGCTATTGTGAAGAGGGTCAGTAGGTGTCGTTAGAATAAACACGAAACCGAAAGGCTTTATCTGCTTGAGGTGAGACATTTGTTGACTCTGTCACTCATGATATGATTATCTATCTATCTATCTATCTATCTATCTATCTATCTATCTATCTATCTATCTATCTGTCTATCTATCTATCGATCTATCTACCTATCTATCTATCTATCTACCTATCTATCTATCTATCTATCCATCTCTCTATCTATCCATCTCTCTATCTATCCATCTCTCTATCTATCCATCTTTCTATTTCTCTATCTATCTATCTATCTATCTCTAATTATACATATATATATAATATGTATTTATATAAATATGTGTGTGTATGTGTGTGTGTGTGTGTGTGTGTGTGTGTGTGTGTGTGTGTGTGTGTGTGTGTGTGTGTTTTCTTCGTTAGAACAAGACCTTGATTTTACAATGATGATACTTTATTAATTAATTAATCAATTAATTATTAAAATTCCAATGTTTCATTGCATTTCGTACAGAATTTAACTTCTCAAAAGAGAGCGGAGTATCGCTCTTTTGCGATGGAAAACAACGAAGCGTTCTTTTGACAATAACAAACATGGCGCAAGGCAAGTTTAAAGCTCCAAAACAGCATGTTCCAGGCAAAAAGAAAGACAAAAAAGCGTCGAAACAGAAATTTGGATTGAAGAAAGGTAATGAAAATGAAGTATTGATTGGCTATCTCTTGTTTTTCACTTTCATCTATGTTTACATGTTCATATATTTGGCAAATTTCACGGTAAGGAAGAGCAGCGAAGACAATCATTTTCTACTTGAACTTGAACTGTTGTGTTTCCAACGCCAACCCACCAAGTCGTATTGCCATTTATTTTGAAATAAAAATAACCCAAAATTTTGCTCTTTTTATTAATCCTTGTTTGAACAATATTTATGTAAATCAAGAGAGAGTATTTGCTTTACTTTTTTCTTGGTCAAAGGTTACTTTACTCACTTGAGTCTATGGCTGGGGTAGGCTCTATCAGGCACTCCTGTACAAAAGGTCACCTCTGTTCTCACCCCGGGTGAGGGTGAGAATAGCGCAGGCGAGTCTTTTGGCTATTCTCACCCGGTGGGCGTTCACCGTTATAGCCTAGATCTAGGCCTACCAATTTTGCGTTCACCCTAAACCACAGAATTCTACACTGTGATAACAGAAAAATTGCAGAATTCTGTGCCGTCAACAAATGTTCCATTACTACTGTTAGCCTACTAAAACTAATAGCGTACAATTTTGTCTGTGGGCAGTGGAGAGCGAGAACTTCCGGGCAAAACAAAATGGCGACCCCCGTAGTTCGGCTCGATTCGAAAAGTGGAATAGCCATAGCATCTTTGTAGTCGATAAAATTAGATTACTTTTGTGCTGTAACGTAATCTTTTCTTTGCCTTTATCCATTTGATCATCTACATCAATAGAAAGTATTCCAAAATTAGGAAAAACAGGTCTTGTTTCACACCGGGTGAGAATAGCCTTCGGAGGTCGATTCGCCTGTACAATTACAGTCCCGTTTAGATACTCGTTTTGACCCTAACAACGATTACTTCTGGTTCTAAATGATTACTTTTTGATGCGTGTGCAGATAGGCCTATGGAGGGATAGCCAATTAAACCTAATTGTAAAGGCCACTTCTATTCTCACCCCGGGTGAGAAGAGCGCAGGCGAATCTTTTGGCTATTCTCACCCGGTGTGCGTGCACCGTTATTTTATATAAATAACCGTTATAGCCTAGATCTAGGCCAACCAATTTTGCGTTCACCCTGAACCACAGAATTCTACACTGTGATAACAGAAAAATTGTAGAATTCTGTGCTGTGAACAAAC